ACTCTTCCCCGAATCTCCACTTCCTCATTGCTGTCTGTCTGAAGGAGTGCTGAGTGAGGCCAGAAGACTTTGGAACAAAAACTGAATTTGCCTGGGTGAGTTTAACTGATCATGGGGAAAGCTGTTCTGAAGCAGGAAAAGGCCAGGCTTGCAGACTTCCTGCCAGCAGTGCTGACTCATGGGCGGTCTGGGGAGGAGCAGCTTTGAAAGAAGGGAGATGGAAGAAGTGAGTGGGTTTGTTTCCTAGAGGGACTGTTATTTTTCCAGGCTGAGTCTCTCCACAGCCCTTTCTATTCTATAAATTTGAACTGCACTTTGCGGAAGAGAGCCAGAAGCCTCTATTCCAGAAGCAGACAGTCCCTTCCTCCAGCAGGGGAAAGCCAGAGAAATCTTGAATCCTAATAGCTTAATGCCTGTCAGTGTAATAATTTTGTATTTCTGCATGACTCTGCAGGTCAGTTTCCATCAACCTGGCCAGTCCTCGTGACATCACCCTTGATGGTGTGACAACTGGCCAGCTTTGCAGCCTTTCATCTGGTCACTCCTGCTAGAGCCCCACATCCAGATTCCCAGGAGCTACTGCATTTCCTTAAAATTCACTATCCTTGCTCCTCCCTCTCCCTGGGCCACATGTGCCACCCTGAAGCAGACAGAGCTCAGCCAAAAGATTGAGAGAAAAAGGAGCACTTGGGAAAAATTTCCAGAAGTGTCACCTTTTCTAACTTTTAATTAAAGAATGAGGCGCTTGACTGATATTAATGATATGAAAAAATGTCAGAAGACATGGCATCATAACAAGATCCTGAAGCCCATGAGAGAAAAGATTGAACAGGGCCCTCTGTTGACCCAATCCCTTTCCCATGGAAGGTCTAGCTTCAGCTTCACTTGGGCTAATTCAGGCACACAGAAGAGTCCAGGCAAAGCTCTTTTCTCTCCAACTTACTTCCCCTCATCTGACTAAATCTTACTGCATCGAGATTGTTTTTGGAGAGTTTCAACTCTTCATCATATTCCTTGTGCCCCCTTCTGGTAATAAATCAGTGTGTAGTGCTTGTCTTTTCACTATGCAATGTACCTCTGTCATGCCACATGTCACAGGATTTTAAAATCGATTCATTAATGTTTGCTGCAGATTTTAATCTAGCTAGTATTACAGGGAATACACATTAAATGGTTAATGACATTGTGAAATATATTTAGTCTTAATTCCTGCTTCCTGGCATACACTCCTAAAATCCTTGAAATCTTCCAAGAGACAATCTTTTTGTATACTAATGAATAGGCTGATGGCTGGCAGCCCATGGGTAGCTTCAGGATGGGGGCTGGTCTGCAGAAATACTAAAGCAGGATTTGAAGCCTGGGAATTTCACCCCATGCTCCAACCTTTTTGGAGGTGAGATGGGCTGAAGGTTAAAATGCATCACTATCCAGTGATTTAATCAATCACCCTATGTAATGAAGCCTCCAAACAACCCTGAAAGGGCATCTGGGAGCTCCTGGAGAGCTGAGCATTTGAAGATTTCTCCAGGGTAGGGCACCTGGAGTGGGCATGGGAACTCTGTGCCCTTCCCTCATGCCTTGCCTGTGCATCTCTTCATTTGCATTCTTTGTAATATAGCAGTAAATGTAAGGAGGAGAACCCCGATTTATAACCAGTAGGTCAGAAGCACAGGTATAACATCCCAGTAGAAATTGTGGGCAGTCTGTGCGACTGAGTTCTTAAGTATGGGACACACACTATCTCCAGGTACACAGAATCAGAAGTGAATTGGCAGACACCCAACTGGTGTCCCCTGATGAACTTGCTTGGTGTGCAGAAGTCTTCTGTGTTAACTGGTTACAGAGAGTATAGGCAATACTGAGTTCATTTGTATCCTACATAATGGTATTAGATGATATTATAATACTTAGCAAATGAAACATAGTACAATGTCATTTTCCCAGCCTATTTAGGAAAAGTGATCCTTTCTCATATAACATCAATAATTTGCAGCTTCATCATGCTTAGAGAAACAATTTTACTGTAATCCCAGAATAAAATAATTCTGTCTATATCCTTGTTGCTTGGAGTTTTACAATACCTACTTATTGTCTTTAATGTCTTTGTTGCATGTCTTTAGCTCTGGGACATTCTCATGGTCTCAGATGTCAGGAGAAGTCCCATGTGTAGGGTGCAATCGCCTGAACCCGATAGCAGCCAGGTGAAGGGGGATACCAGGCAGATAACATTCATGTTCTTATCTCTACCACCCTGATTATCTGGGGCCTTTGTGCCACAGGGGGTGGTGGGATTACCCCCTTGTGTGGGGACTCTGGCTCCTCTGCATGGTCCTCTTTCAGTGTCTGTTATGGCATCAGAGGTTTTGACATCATCCCCTTTATAGCCCCATTATGAATATAAATTTCACAGCTTCGTGGCAGAACTCAATGTCTGCTCCTCCCTCCTATATAGGCCTTTCATGCTTCTTAGCAGTGTTTGGATTTTTAATGGAATAAGAGGTAACTGGAGTCCCCACCATTATGTTGGGCTCACAACATGAGTCATAAGCAGGGGTAGACATCATCAAATGATGTAAGTCCCCGATCTTGCCATGCTTCAGAGCATGAGTGCCGGGTCACAGCCCTGCACCCAAACACAACATGGCCTGGGCCAATTTTCACTATCTGTGCCCTTGGCTTGGTTACTCCTTGTTCTTTATCGAGTTCCTGTGATAGATGATGGGAGAAGTGGACAGTTTTTGTAAGTCTGAATTAATCTCCATATAGAGAGAGTTCATAACTGATTTTTTTCTTTTTAACAACAAGGGAAAAAATTATCAGTTGTCTCATATTGGAGATTGTTGTTTTTTTTTTCTTATATTTTTTTTACCATCAGATCATGGCCACCATCAATATTTAGTATCTGTTAGGGTCTCCACTTTCTATGTTTTCTTGCCTCATAGCCCGATTTGCCTGAAGCTCCTGACAGAGCCGCTGAGCCCAGACTGAGGCCACGAGGCCATTAATGAACCCAGATCTGAGAGTCAGTATCACCGTAGGACCCCTCTGCACACTAGAAGTACTTTACAATCTGGTTTGCCATTCCACTCATGGGAGATGACAGGACATAAACCATCCAGGTTAGTGTGGTTTACCAGGAGATGCAGGACAAGAAATGTAGCTGGCATAGCTACCTCAGATGAGCTCTCAGTGACAGTTTTTACCATGGTACAAGAGGAACATTATCCCCGGCATCTCAGCTTTTTGAATAAATCAGACTAGCTAGATGTTTGTGAAACTATGATAGGTTGGGTAAGCCTAGTATTCCAAGGGACTAATTATCTTGTGAAAGCTCATGAACATAGCTTCCAGGGACTTAAAACAGATATATTTAGTTACATCATGAAAAATGAGGTCTTTTTTTACCAACTAGAATTTAAAGTCTACATATAATCTTCCCAGTTTAAATGTGCTTTACATATCAGGCTATTTTTACTACCAATAACGTGGAGTAGCAAGACAACTAACATTACTCTTTATTGTAACCCAATAAGTTTCCCAGAGGAAAAAATATCAGGAGAAGATAAGCCAATATCATCTTTATAGGAAGAAAGAGCCCAAACCTGATGTTAACCATTTGTTCCTACCTATCCTGTCTACTTCCCAACCCTGTCCTTTCTATTTCAGTTTATCTCTTTCATCTGTTCTCTGTTTTCTCCATTGCCTTGTCCTGCAAGCTGTCATCCTCTTAACCCTGAGCAAGTGTGCCTGCATCCTAACTGATCCTCCCTTTTTCATGGTGGATCCATCTCACCTTTTACAACCCCAGTGCAAAGCTAATGAAATCCTCACTTCCATCTGCTAATGGATGTTGATAATTGACATTGATAACTGACATTGGTAATTTCTCCTTGCTCTTAGGAAAGAGTCCTTAAATTTACGTCTTTCGGAAGTGTCAAAATTTCTCATCCCTGCAGGCCTAGCAGCTCTGTACACACCAGCCAAACTGGCGATTTAAAACTCCTGGAAGATGCTACATATTCCATGAACAGATTATTCATATATGCAATAACTTCTACCTAATACATGTGTCCTCTTTCTCATCCCATATTTTCTTCATATCTTCAGGCTTCATTTCAAATCTTGTGTTTTCAAGTTGGAATTCTTGGATAGCCCTCTGTTTTCTCCATCATTTGATTTCTAACAATGTATACATCCCTCTAGTTGTGTTTATCACATCTGCTTTTTTGTCTGTGTGTATATATGTATATGTATACACATATATATGATTGATTATTTAATTTATTATGACTGTTCAGATGAACGTCAAGTTCATAGTGGTTTAAAGCATCTGCTGATCTTTGTGTTTTAGATTGTGGTTCAATTGCTAGCATCTATCATCAATGATAATTTGTCAAATTATCTCATCTAATATTTTGAGACTTCTGCCAAGATTGGGATTCATTTCATGTGTGTTTGTATTTGGGGGTCTCTGATAGTTGTGTACTATGAGTACACATCTCTCTCCCCATCATCCATCCATATGCATATACACTATCCACCTTAAGGCTTCTATCAACATCCTTGGCAAATTTCCAGGACAAGCCTCCTCATAAGCTCCCAGGAGCTAGATTTCTCTAGCTCCACACCACCATTGCTCTGGGGAAGTATTTGGTCTATGCAGTTACCTCTGTCTTTGATTGACTTTGTGGGGTAGCAGAAAGACCTCACAGATAAGAATAAAATTTGTCATATGACACAAACTGGGAGTAAATTATTTGAAATTATTATTAAATAAGCCATTTTTGCCTTGTCACCAATTTCCTTTCCTGTTTCTCTCCTACTTTTTTTTTTTAATCCTTCAATATTTCTCTTGGCCTATTTTTCATTTCAGTACAATCAGTAACCTTTCTATCGCCACCTTTCTTACTCTGCTCCCTTTTAACTTTCCCACACATGCAGGGATCTGTCAGCATAGAAACCTCATCAGCGAGGACAGAAAGGATAAGGGAGTGGCTGCTATGACTTCAGACTTCCTGGAGAATTTAAAGGAGGAGGTGACCTGCCCCATCTGCCTGGGCCTCCTGACAGAACCCCTGAGCCTAGACTGTGGCCACAGCTTCTGCCAAGCCTGCATCACTGCAAACCACAGGAAGTCCATAATAGACCAAGAAGAGGAGAGCAGCTGCCCTGTGTGCCGTATCACTTACCAGCTCAGGAACTTGCGACCCAATCGGCATGTGGCCAAAATAGTGGAGAGGCTCAGGGAGGTCAGGACAAACCCAGAGGGGAGGCAGAAGATAGATCAGTGTGCACGCCATGGAGAGAAACTCCTACTCTTCTGTGAGGAAGATGAGAAGATCATTTGCTGGCTTTGTGAGCGATCTAAGGAGCACCGTGGTCACCACACATGTCTCATTGAGGAGGTAGCCCAGAAGTACCAGGTAAGAGACCAAAATGATTGGAAGACAGGGCAGAAAATGGTACCTGATGGAAAATATCCACTTTGCATTTTACTTTAATTAACTTGTCATCATAGACCTGAGGCCTGTAATATTTTTTCCATCCTGTGCTTATCATCTGAGGCCTGAAGGACATTTTTATGCACTCCATGTAATTGTAAGAAAATAAGCCTAGAGTACACACTCTTGGACAGAAGTAAATACTTCTAGACCTTAAGCTAGGTGGGTAGACCTTTGGTGGCCAAGGAAAGCTCTGATTACTCCTTTCAGCAGGAGAGGAACTGGGGTGGATGAGATATAAGTTCTTTCCTTGCTATAGGATCAGATTTTTCTTCTAGGACAAAAAAAGAATCCGTCTACTCTTGGTGAGGGGATGGTGTCTTAAATTAGTTAAGACTTAAAGAACACATTCACCACCTTGGGTTTTCTTTTAAGTGATGGATTCTAACTGTGGTTCTCAGAGTTTCTGTAAACTCTAGTCCCTTCTGAGATCAATCTGTTTTCATCCTTGTTCACCTTCTATCCAAGTGATGAAAAAGCTCACAGCTTAACTCTGTTGTAATTCCTTTCTCACAGAAAGTGCTCCAGGAAGCTCTGGAGAAGCAGATGAAGAAGCAACAGGAAGCTGAGAAGTTGAAAGCTAACATCAGAGAAGAGAGAAATTCCTGGAAGGCAAGAGGAGACACTTCCTGAGTGAATTAGTCAGAAACCTGGGCAGGAACATGGGGTGGAACTCCCTCCCTCTGTGCCCTGACACTTGATAACTCCAGAAGTCGTTTGATTAGTCCTCGTCTTCATCCTTTCCCCTATGGAGGATCAGGGATATTCAGTATGGCACGAATACATATAGCTATTGGAGGGAGCTATTTACATGGAAGGACTGTCTGGTGAGGATGGCTGGTGAATTCTGAGTACCATTCTTGTGATGCTTTTTGAGTCTGTGTCTCTCTACTCAGGGACTTTTGGCAATGGCTCATGGTTTTTGCCCTCAATGTTCAAGGGTGGGGTGAGAAGTAATACAGGCACACAGGACTGTCCTGGATAACTGTGTAAAATCTAAGCACACCCAGGTGTCCCATTTTGGCTCAGGGTGGGCCTCATCATACCAATTTAAGGTCATTGTTTTAGAATGTATGAAGGGATAATAATAGGACAAGTAACTTTCCTAAGAATTTCTTCCCTGCTTCTATTTCCCTTCCCTGTGCGAACTTCCCAGGAGAAACTGTTCTACTTCTGGCTCACAGCCTCTTCTTGATAGACTGAATGCCTCTCTTTTCCTTCTCATCCTTAAAGATTCAAATACAGTGTGACAGAGAAAACATCAAGGCCCAGTTTGACAAACTGAGAGACATCCTAGAGTCTGAGGAGAACGATGAACTGCAAAAGCTGGAGAAAGAGGAGGAAGATATTCTGGATAACCTGGCCAAGTCTGAAACTGTGCTGGTCCAGCACAGCCTATTGGTGGGAGAGCTCATCTCAGATGTGAAGCATCGGTTGCAGAGCCCAGCAATAGAGATGCTGCAGGTAAGACTGGAAGAGAAGCTTCAGTATCTGAGATTCAGGAAAAGTGAAGACTGTTTCCTTCTCGATGTTGCTGTGCTGTGTCTTGTGCTGACGCTAAAGTTCTCTGGTCACTGCAGTACCCTTTTCCTAATTCAATGTCAGAGGTTATAGGAATAATGGAATGTATAAGTATCAAGGGAAAATCCTATTTTTATTACTTTTTCAAGAGCAGTACAAATATTTGCCCTTGGAGAGAAGATCAGTTGTATCCAGTGATACTTTCTAGGCCCCTATTCTCTGTAGTCTAGGGCTGAGCATTTCTAGGCTTTTCATTGCTCAGCTTAGTCAAACACATGTATTTCAGAATATGAGTTGTTTTTGTTTTTCCCCCTCATAGAATGTGTTGAGACGTTACCTCACTTTCTTTATTTTCTGAAAAATAGTTGTAAAGTACTGGCATTATTTCTTCTTTAAATATTCAATAGAGTTCACCAGGAAAGCCATCTCATACTGTTTCTTACTTTGGGGAAAGGTATGAAATTTTCAATTTTGTACATGCATTGTGCTTATTTAGATTTTGTAATGCTTCTTGAGTCTCTTCTTGGTAATGGATGTCTCCATAGGGATTTGTTCATTTCATCTAAGTTGTCAAATTTGTAGGACTAAAGTTAGTCACAAGCCTTTATAGTCCCTTTAATTTTTATTTTAAATTTTAACTTGATTTATTTATTAAAATTGACAAATACAAATTGTATATATTTATTGTTTACAACATGTGGTTTTGAAATATGTATACATTGTGGAAATGCTAAATCAAGCTAAATGACATTCATTACCTCACATACTTTTCACTTTGTGGTGAGAACATTTAAAATCTACTCTCTGCGATTTCAAGAATACAATACATTGTTAACTATACTTAACAGTTGCGCACTAGATCTCTTGAGGATAGCCCTCCTATCTATCTAAAGTTAGTATCCTTTGACCAGCATCTGCCCCATTTCCCCTGTACTCCAGCCCCTCGTAAACCCTCACCTACTCTATACCTATATTAGATCGACTTTTTCTTTACATTCCATCAATGTAAGTGATATTGTGCAGTATTTGTCTTACTGTGCCTGGCTTATTTCACTTAATATAAAGTCTGCCAGGTTTATCCATGATGTCATAAATGCAAAGATTTCCTTCTTTTTTAAGATTGAATGGTATTCACTTACAGATATTTATATGCCACATTTTCCTTAGCCATTCAACTGTTGATGGACACTTAGGTTAATTCCATATGTTGTGTAATGTTAAAAATGCTGCAATGAACATGGGAGTCCAAGTATCTCTTGGACATATTGATTCCATATCTTTTGAATGTATTCTCAGCCATGAGATTGCTGGATCATATGGTAGTTCTATTTTTAATTTTTTGACGAACATCTATATCATATTCCACAATGGCTATACTAATTTACATTGCCACAAACAGAGTTGAAGAGTTCCTTTTCTCCACATCCTCTTCAAACTTGTTATCATTAGTTTTTTAGGTAATAGTCATTCTAACAGGCATGAGGTGTTATATCTTTGTGGTTTTAATAAGCATTTCTCTGATGATTAGTGATTTTGAGCATTTTTTCATATACCTGTTGACTATTTGTCTGCGTTCTTTTGATAAATTTTGATTGAGAGCCTTTGCCCAATTTTTAATTGGGACTTTTTTTTTCTGTTGTTGAGTTGTATGGACTCTTTCTGTATTTTGTTTATTTTTTTATTTTTTTTTTTTTTAAACTTCTATATCCAATGGCAGCAATGTATTTTGGATTCTAACCTTTATCAGATATATGGCTTAGAAATATTTTCCTCCAACCCATAGGCTGCCTTTTCGTTTTGTTGATTGTTTCCTTTGCTGGGCAGAAACTTCTTAATTTGATATAATCTCATTTGTCTGTCTTTGCTTTTGTTGCCTATGCTTTGGGTTCTTAGCCTAAACATCATTGCCTATACAAATAGGTCTGGAGCTTTTTCCTTGTTTTCCTCTAGTAGTTTTACTGTTTCACATCTTACATTTAAGTATTTATTCCACTTGAGTTGAGTTTTTATGCGTTTTGAGATAAAGATCTAATTTATTCTTCTGCATGTAATTCATTATGCAAAGAACAATTGGTTTAAAGGGACTATCCTTTCCCCCACTGTGTGTTCTTGACATCTTTGTCAAAAATCATCTGACCATAAATGTGTGGATTATTTTTAATGGCTTTCTCTACTGTTCCATTGGCCTGTGTCTGTTTTTAATGCTATTATCATGATATTTGGATTAATATAGCTTTGTAGTAGATTCTGAAGTCAGGTACTATGATGCCCCCAAGATTTTTTTTTCTTTTTTTGCTAAAGATTGCTTGGCGATTCATCCTTATGTATAGGTATTTATTGTGTTTTCTCATATTTTAGGATTTTTTTTTACTATTGTTAAAAATGTCAGATTTTATAGGAATTATACTGAAAATTTATCCACCTTGGTTAGCATGGGACATTTAACAATTAACATTCTTCGAAGCTATAGAACACAGGTTATTCTTTTTTTTCATGTGTTATGATGCTTTTAATTCTTTCTGCAACTTGTTTTAGTTTTCAGTCATATAGATTTTTACCTCCTTGATTAAATTTCATTACCTAAATATTTTAATTTTTTGTAGGCTATTGTACTGGGGTTGTTTTCTTCATCTTAGTTATGTTGTACGTGGATAGAAATCTATTGATTAATATATTTTGATTTTATGTTCTTGTAACTTTCTGAATTTTTGTTAATTAGTCCTAAGAGATTTTGGTAGAGTCAATGTTTTTATGATATGGATCAATATCTGCTAACAGGTTATTAAACTTCTCGATAACAATTTGATTGCCTTGTTATTTCTTTCAGCTTGTGCATTATTTTGTTTTATTTTCATATTAGATAGTTTAACAGTGGGCATTTCTGGTCTTTTTTCCTTGGTCTTAGAGAAAAAAGTATCTCTTCACAAGATTATTATGATATTTTTTATTATTCTCATGCCTCCGTTTTTTCTTTTTGTTTAGTATATTTCTTTTCTATTATAATTTCGTTTATCATGAATTAAGATACTGATTTGTTGGTTAGGATTATTTTTCTCCAGGGTGCTACTGAGCATGGATCATGTTTTTTTGGCTTCCCAGTCAATCAGTTGAACACTAGTGCGATCACGTTTGTGGATTTGCTATATGGAACCATGGGTCGTTGTGTCCTTGGCCCTAAATCCCCATTTCATCATGGGAAGTAGTTCTTTTAATGTGCTGGTCGATTTGGTTTTCTGAATATGTTTTAGTTCGCTTATGAGTTGGAAAGTGCCCTTTCCAAAATCCTTTTTTACCACTTAATCTAGTTTTATTTGGTTTATGTCATATACAACATAAAATTTCTGATATAATAAAAAAATCATAGAAGTGTGTGTGTGTGTGCGTGTTGTGGGCGGCGCTGCGCCGCGCTCTTGCCGGTTGCGCGCGCAACTATTGGGTCTAGTTCTTGGAGAAAAACTTACCTGGAAAGGAATCACAGAATTTGTATGTGTTATAAGGGCACAAGAATACATTTTTTTGTTTCAATAATTAATTATATTATTGATGATAAAGATGTAGCTGAGACCTAAAGGTCTTTATATATGTTTTATAGACTTTATAACTACTGCCCTCTGTAGTTAGAGATGTGTCGCGCGCGCGGAGTTCAGGGTAAACACTGTAGTTTTTAGGACAGTGACTGAGTAGCTATCAGGAATATTATGCACAATATGGATAAAAGAGGAAAGTGGTTGGTGCTACATATTAGACACCCTGAGCTGCAAGTCCTTGTGGCTCCTTCATTATTGAATATATTGAAAATGAATTTAAGTCACAAATGTGAGTTAAAATTGAGAGTTAAAAATAAACTGCGCATATGTGTGTGTGGAATTTGAAGGAGTGGATGAGGTCAATTGTAGTTAATGTATAGAAGATAAAAAGAGCAGCTGGAGAAACATCCATGCTTGTTTAGTACACTTGTTTGTTTGTACCCTGGGGAAAAACCATATAAAGTTCCTGAGGTCTATTATTTATTCGTCTTTAAGTCTCCAAAACCTCGCATAATGCCTGGCAACTGATAGTGATTCAGCTTACACATCTGTTGAATAAATCAAAGAACCATGAATGATTTAAATCATCACATAGGGAACCATATACATGTGGATAAAAAAATTGGGGGCCTCTTCTTTTCTCTTGTAAACGTGTCCCATCTACAGATATCAGAAACCTCTTCCTCAAGGATGAAAGTTGTTTCTACTTTTTAGGGAATTTGATAGGCTCACATGAGTCTTCTGGGTGATTGCCCTGAGTCTTATCTTTACGTTTTTGTCGTTCACACTGGAACCATCTGCATTCTCAGCCTATCAGGGGCTGGTGGAAATGTGATGAATCTTGGGGAGGGAAGAGAGGCTACTCTTTCTTAATTGATGTTTTCTCTCTTCTTCCTAGGATGTGAATGACATCATAAAAAGGTATGTGTGGGAGACCAAAGATGGTCCTTTTGGCTGTGAGAAGAAATTTGTAGGCATTAGAACCGTCTGATGTTCAATTAGAATAAAACATGTCCCAGGGAGAAAAATTTCAAGACAGTGTTATCCTTAATTCCTCATCACAAGTCAAGATTTGAGTGTTTTATATCTATTAAGAATAGACCAAATTCCATGGTAGGAAATTTGGGCGGTCGGGAGTCACAAAGTTTGTGTCAGGAGTGGTATTATGGATAAGGTTTTGCAGAATCAGATCTCTGTTACATCACCATTTCATTGTCTACTGCTCGCTCTAATTCTGTATTCAAAAGGTGCTTGACTTATCATGGGAGAGATGTATCTTCTTTTTCTACCAAGTACCCAGATATGTCCATTGGGGTAATTTCTATATATTTATATTTTGTTCTGGGAACAGAAGAGACCAGGTCCTTCTTTATGGTTCTATTTAGATTTACACAAACAGACTTAAACTTCTGTGAGTAATATTTTGGTTTGGGGAAAATAATTGATTCATCTTGTTCACATACTTCAGAAAAGTATGGAAAGGGGGCATCTGCATGTAAAAAATTGCACACACACCTGACAGTAACAGTTTCTTCAGAACACATGAAATTCAGACCAATATTACTTTGGTGCTCACTTTATCTCATTTTCTGAGAGTTTATAATATTTCCCAGAGAACCTGAAACCTCAGATGATATCTGAGGACCTCCCTACTGGGTTTTGAAGATGTGTGGCTTCTCCAGATAGGGTTTGCACACTTAATGTGCCTCAAACACCCAGAGGCCAAGTTCTGAAACCTCACATTCTGACCATCTCCCTGGGAACTCACATCCATGGCAATGATGTTTCCACACATTAAATGTTCTCATTTTTAGGCACGGAAATTTTGTTTTGTTTTAACATCAATTATTTTATGATTTCTTATCAGTTCAAGGAGGTTGAGAGGGAGAGGTTAATTATTTCATTTTAAAAGGAAATACTGCTTCTGAAGAGTTTAAGACTTTTCCATGGTCACACAGATAGTAAGTAGAAAGGTCAACATGAGCACATTTCATCTGGTTCCAGGGTTGGGAATTTGTTCTCTCCCTTCTCAGGATCTCCAGGTAGAGAATTCAAGTGCATTAATGGGGTGAAATGATAGAAGGTCAGTGATGTTCAAGGGAAACAAGGTCAGGGGTATGGGATTCAATTGTTGTCATTCCTAGAAGTGAGACCTTGATGTTGAAGACACCAAAAACTTTTCCCAAGGAGCAAAGGAGAGTGTTTCAAGCTCCTGATCTGAGAGGAATGCTCCAAGTGTTTAAAGGTGAGTAGAGCTAGATCAAGTGTGTGGCTGTGGGATTCTAGTGGTGGCATGGGCTAAATGGGCACAGTTTCTAGGTGTGGATAGAAGAGATAAGGGAGGACTGATTGTGTGCTGATAATGTGGTCATATTTAATGGTAATGGCCAGGTGCCTGGTTCATCCTCTCATTCACAAGTTTGCTCTCCTACGATAGTCCCTTATTCTTCTCCTAATCTACAGGAGACATGGTTTTCTGTGATGACTTTGCTTGTATTCAAAATCATATATTTTTTTTATCATTTCAGAGTTGAAAGATGTCCAACGCTACTGGGGTAAGAAAAAGTCACACTATCACAAGCTACCCTGTTGTCGCTACCTTTCAGAATTTTTTGGTTTTTAGTAGGTCTCATGTTCTAAGATCCATGTTTCTCCATGCAACACACACATGCCTACCCCTCCCCGTAACCTGTAAGCAAGGTTCCTCTTAGATTACTCTCAAGTTGTTCTCACTTCCAAAAATCCTTTTACACTGTACTCTATTTATTTGGTTCATGTCATATACAACATAAAATTTCTGATATAATAAAAAAATCATAGAAGTGTGTGTGTGTGTGTGTGTGTGTGTGTGCGCGCGCGCGCGCGGCGCGCCAAGGTATTGGTCTAGTTCTTGGAGAAAACTTACCTGAAGGAAACAAATGTAGGGCAAAGGGCACAAAATACATTGGTGCCAATCAAAATATCTGTGATGATAAAGATGACTAGATGACCTAAAGTCACTATGGATATAGAATAAACTGCCCTAGTAGAGACTGGAGTTCAGGGTAAACACTGTAGTTTTTAGGACAGTGACTGAGTAGCTATCAGGAATATTATGCACAATATGGATAAAAGAGGAAAGTGGTTGGTGCTACATATTAGACACCCTGAGCTGCAAGTCCTTGTGGCTCCTTCATTATTGAATATATTAAAATGAATTTAAGTCACAAATGTGAGTAAAAATTGAGAGTTAAAAAAACTGCCATATGGTGTGTGGAATTGAAGGAGGATGAGGTCAAAGTAGTTAATGTATAGAAGAATAAAAGAGCGGCTGGAGAAACATCCATGCTTGTTTAGTACACTTGTTTGTTTGTACCCTGGGGAAAAACCATATAAAGTTCCTGAGGTCTATTATTTATTCGTCTTTAAGTCTCCAAAACCTCGCATAATGCCTGGCAACTGATAGGTGAATCAGCGTTCCTCTAGTAGTTTTACTGTTTCACATCTTACATTTAAGTATTTATTCCACTTTGAGTTGATGTTTTTATGCGTTTTGAGATAAAGATCTAATTTCATTCTTCTGCATGTGGATATTCAGTTATGCAAAGACAATTGGTTAAAGGGACTATCCTTTCCCCCACTGTGTGTTCTTGACATCTTTGTCAAAAATCATCTGACCATAAATGTGTGGATTATTTTTAATGGCTTTCTCTACTGTTCCATTGGCCTGTGTCTGTTTTTAATGCTATTACCATGATATTTGGATTAATATAGCTTTGTAGTAGATTCTGAAGTCAGGTACTATGATGCCCCCAAGATTTTTTTTTCTTTTTTTGCTAAAGATTGCTTTGGCGATTCAGGGTCCCATGTACGTGTTAGGTATTTATTGTGGTCCCATACAAATTTTAGGATTTTTTTATATATTTCTGTTAAAAATGTCAGAAATTTAATAGGAATTATACTGAATTAATTTTTGATCACTTTGGGTAGCATGGACATTTAACAATAATCATTCTTCCAAGCTATAAACACAGGTTATCTTTTTTTCATTTATTTGTGTCTTCTTTAATTTCTTTCTGCAATGTTTTATAGTTTTCAGCATATAGATTTTTTACCTCCTTGATTAAATTTATTCCTAAATATTTTAATTTTTTGTAGCTATTGTAACTGGGGTTGTTTTCTTCATTTCTTTTCAGATAATATGTTGTTAGTGGATAGAAATGCTATTGATTTATATATTTTGATTTTATGTTCTGTAACTTTCTGAATTTGTTAATTAGTCCTAAGAGATTTTGGTAGAGTCAATGGTTTTCTATATATGGGATCACATTATCTGCAAACAGGGTTAATTAAACTTCTTGATACCAATTTGGATGCCTTTTATTTCTTTCACTTGCATTATTGCTCTGGCTACTACTTCTAGTTCAATAGAAGTGGTAACAGTGGGCATTCTTGTCTTTTTCCTGGTCTTAGAGAAAAAGCTTTCATCTTCTTACAAGTATATTATGATATTATATTATGATGTTATGGCCTCCGTTGTGTTTAGGTATAGTTCTTGTATAGCTAATTATTAAGACTTTTTTCCTTTATCATGAAAAGATACTGAGTTTTGTTATATTATTTTTCTCCATCTACTGAGATGATCATGTTTTTTTTCTTCCCATCAATCGGTTAACATAGTGCATCACGTTTGTGGATTTGCTATGTGGAACCATTCTGTGTCCTTGGCCTAAATCCCATTTCATCATGGTGAATAGTTCTTTTAATGTGCTGTTCGATTTTGGTTTTTATTTTTGTTGGCTATGGGATGAATCAGTGCTTTCCAAAATTCCTTGTTTTACATGTAATCTAGGTTTGTATTTGGTTTCATGCTCAATTCAACATAAATTTCTGATATAATAAAAAAATCATAGAAGTGTGTGGTGTGTGTGTGTGTGTGCGTGTGTGCGCGCGCGCGCGCCAAGGTATTGGTCTAGTTCTTGGAGAAAACTTACCTGAAGGAAACAAATGTAGGGCAAAGGGCACAAAATACATTGGTGCCAATCAAAATATCTGTGATGATAAAGATGACTAGATGACCTAAAGTCACTATGGAATTGAGATAACTGCCTAGTATAGAGACTGAGTTCAGGGTAAACACTGTAGTTTTTAGGACAGTGACTGAGTAGCTACTCAGGAATATTATGCACAATATGGATAAAAGAGGAAAGTGGTTGGTGCTACATATTAGACACCCTGAGCTGCAAGTCCTTGTGGCTCCTTCATTATTGAATATATGAAAATGAATTTAGTCACAAATGTGAGTAAAAATTGAGAGTTAAAATAACTGCGCATATGTTGGTGTGGATTTGAAGGAGTGGATGAGGTCAATTGTAGTTAATGTATAGAGAGTATAAAAGAGCGGGCTGGAGAAACATCCATGCTTGTTTAGTACACTTTTTGTTTTGTACCTGGGAAAACCATATAAAGTTCCTGAGTTATTATTTTATCATTCTTTAAGTCTCAAAACCTCGCATAATGCCTGGCAACTGATAGTGAATCAGCTTACACATCTGTTGAATAAATCAAAGAACCATGAATGATTTAAATCATCACATAGGGAACCATATACATGCTGGATAAAAAAATTGGGGCCTCTCTTTCTCTTGTAAACGTGTCCCATCTACAGATATCAGAAACCTCTTCCTCAAGGATGAAAGTTGTTTCTACTTTTTTAGGGATTTGATAGGCTCACTGAGTCTTCTGGGTGATTGCCCTGAGTCTTATCTTTACGTTTTGTCGTTCACACTGGAACCATCCTGCATTCTCAGCCTTCAGGGGCTGGTGGAAATGTGATGAATCTTGGGGGAGGGAAGAGAGGCTACTCTTTCTTAATTGATGTTTTCTCTCTTCTTCCTAGGATGTGAATGACATCATAAGAAGGTATGTGTGGGAGACCCAGAGTGGTCCTTGCTGGCTGTGAGGAAAGTTTGTATGCGATTAGAACCGTGACTGATGTTCAATTAGAATAAAACAGTCCCGGAGAAAATATTCAACGGACCAGTGTTACCTTACATGTCCTCATCACAAGCCATGATTGAGTGTGTTTTATTATCTATCTTAAGAAATTGAGACCCAAGATTTCATGGTAGGAATTTGGGGGTCGGTCGGGAGTCCCAAAGTTTGTGTCAGGATCGTGATTAAGATAAGGTTTTGCGAATCAGATTCTGTTACTCACCATTTTATCTGCTTACTGCTCGCTCTAATTTCTTATTCAAAAGGTGGCCTTGACTTATCATGGGAGAGATGTATTTCTTTTTCTACCAGAGTACCCAGAATATGTTCCATTGGGTAATTTCTATAGTATTTATATTATTGTTGCTTGGGAACAGAAGAGACCAGGTCTTGTCATTTATGGTTCATATTTAGATTCTACACAAAACAGGATTAAACTTCTGTGGAGTAACTATTTTGGTATTGCGGGAAAATAATTGATTCATCTTGTTCACCATACCTTCAGAAAGTATGGAAGGGGGCATCTGGCATGTTCAAAATTGCACACACACCTGACAGGTAACAGTTTTCTTCAGAACAAATGAGATTCAGACCCAATATTCTTTGGTGCTACTTTATCCTCATTTTCTGAGAGTTTATAATATTCCAGAGACCTGAAACTCAGATGATATCTGAGGACCCTCCCTACTGGGTTTTGAAAGTGTGCTTCTCGATAGGGTTTCAACTTAATGCTGCGCTCAAACGACCAGAGGCCAGTATCGTGAAACCCTCACATATTCTGAAAAACCATCTCCCTGGGCAACTCACATCCATGGCAATGATGTTTCACACCATTAAATGTTCTTCATTTTTTGAGGCACAGAAAGTTTTGTTTTGTTTTACGATCAATTCATTTTATGTTGCTTTATCAGTTCAAGGGAGGTGAGAGGGAGAGGTTATTTTCCATTTTATAAGGAATACTGTTTGAAAGAGTTTAGACTTTCACTGGTCAGCACAAGATAGTAAAGTAGAAGGTCGAAAATGAGCACATTTCCATCTGGTTCCAGGGTTGGGATTTGTCTCTCCCTTCTCAGATCTCCAGGGTAGAGATTAAGTGTTAAATTGGGGTTAACATGGATAGAAGGTCAGTGATGTTCAAGGGAAACAAGGTCAGGGGTATGGGATTCAATTGTTGTCATTCCTAGAAGTGAGACCTTGATGTTGAAGACACCAAAAACTTTTCCCAAGGAGCAAAGGAGAGTGTTTCAAGCTCCTGATCTGAGAGGAATGCTCCAAGTGTTTAAAGGTGAGTAGAGCTAGATCAAGTGTGTGGCTGTGGGATTCTAGTGGTGGAATGGGCTAAGTGGGGGAGAGGGCACAGTTTCTAGGTGTGGATAGAAGAGATAAGGGAGGACTGATATTGTGTGCTGATAATGTGGTCATATTTAATGGTAATGGCCAGGTGCCTGGTTCATCCTCTCATTCACAAGTTTGCTCTCCTACGATAGTCCCTTATTCTTCTCCTAATCTACAGGAGACATGGTTTTCTGTGATGACTTTGCTTGTATTCAAAATCATATATTTTTTTTATCATTTCAGAGTTGAAAGATGTCCAACGCTACTGGGGTAAGAAAAAGTCACACTATCACAAGCTACCCTGTTGTCGCTACCTTTCAGAATTTTTTGGTTTTTAGTAGGTCTCATGTTCTAAGATCCATGTTTCTCCATGCAACACACACATGCCTACCCCTCCCCGTAACCTGTAAGCAAGGTTCCTCTTAGATTACTCTCAAGTTGTTCTCATGATTCCTCTGATAATATCACCAGCAAAGCAATATCATATTCTCATCTGACCATTTAATTTTTTCCACAGTTTATGTGACACTGGCTCCAAGCAACAATTCATATGTTGTCATTTCTTCAGATAAGAGACAAGTGGTACCTGTGTGCAATCAGAGATATCTTGGTATCTATGTGATTCCTGACCATTATTATGGCATCCTGGGCTTCCCAGTTATTGCCTCAGGGAAACGTTACTGGGAGGTAGATGTGACCCAAAAAACTGCTTGGATCCTGGGTGTATGTGTTGAAAAAGCCTGCCCACAAAATATTGTGAAGTGTTATAACTTAACAGGAAATTATCAACCCCAATATGGCTACTGGGTTATAGGATTGAATAATACAGGTGAATATAATGCTTTTCAAGATTCGTTACCTTCTGCTCCTCATCCTCCTTCTGCTCCTTCGATCGTGACCCTCTCCCTGACTGTTGCACCTAATCGTGTTGGAATTTTCCTAGACTATGAGGCTGGCACTGTCTCATTTTTCAATGTCACAAACCATGGGTTTCTCATCTATAAGTTCTCTACACGTTTTGCTTGTCCTGTTCGTCCATATTTCAATCCTATGGCATGTCAAGTCCCCATGACTCTGTGCTGACCAAGCCCTTAAACCTTCTTACCCACTCAGCCACTTCTGTGCAGTGCCATTTAACCTGGGCTTGTCTCATACACCTGAACTCATCTGTGCCATTTTGTTCATCTTTCCCTTGCTATCTCCCTTCTTTCTATTTGAATGTCCTTTACTTAACAATAGGAGGTAGGGACTGCCTGGTGCCATGTCCTTCCCAGTATTTGATTCACGTATCACAGCAAATTTGATTCAACATTTTCCATAACCCCATGAAGAAATGACTGAGCCTTCATAAAGTAAAATCAGCATTAAGGTAACACCTTTGCCAAATCTTTACAACCCAGTTTCCTGTGACACTGACTAGGAAGATAGAGGAAAGCTTTTCAACAACCTTTCAATGTCATTGTGTAGGAGACACTCACTAAGGAATGAGCTCTTAGTGGTGTGTCAGTTTCCTCATGATGCTCCTTATTCATCAAAGAGTTAAGGACAAAATATCATAAATAGTATACACTCAGAGTAGAGGTTTTGTATCCTGAGTATCTGAGTTCAAATCCCATCTCTCCATATACTAGCAGTGTAATAATGAACAGCATACTCGTATGGCTGTGTTTCTTGTCTTAAAATAATTTTGTCTTTAAAACCTTCACCTAAAAATAACATGCTGGTTTTCTACTGCATAGTAGGGTGACTAGAGTTAGCAATAACATATTGCATATTTCAAAATATTTAGAAGAGAGAATTCTGAATGTCCTAATCACAAAGAACTTACAAGTGTTTAAAATGATGTATATGGTAATTACCCTGATTTGATAGTTACACAATGCATACCTGTATGGAAACATAACACTGTACCCATAAATATGCAGAATTATTGTGTGTCAATTTAACAAAATAAAACTTAAAAACAAAACTTCATTTAATTCTTTGAATCATTATGGAAAATGAATTCATGAAGTATAAAGCATCTATCTAAATGGCACAATTGAATAATAAGCATTTGCTCTACTAATTACTGAAAACTATAAGCTGTGTTAGTGTGCCAAGGATCAGATTGTGCTTTCAGGGGAACTAGGGTTGGATTTACTGAATTCTCATTTTTTAGGTCTCAGAGAGCACTGTTAACACTACTCCAGTTCTGCCTTTGGTATACACACACACACACACACACACACGCACATTTAGAGTTTTATTATCATTCTGGTGTTGATATATATTAGCCATTGTCAAATAAACTAAATTCTATGGGATTCAGTTTATGTGTAAAAATAATAATGAAATTTACCTGATGTAGTATTGCAAAAATTAAACAAAAGTATCTTTTTAATAACTTTTATCATTTTTAACACATAAGCAGTAATTGAGTATGGTGTCTATTAGTTTGGATTCCCTCACACTGTGGCTGAAGTAAATGATTTTAAAGAATATGTAATAGTTTACTTTCAAAATTATTACCCTTACTTTCTTTTAAGAAATACAATAACTTGATTAAATAAAAATCACAGATTTTTATTTAACTTTAGAAAATTTTAAAATAAATATTCTGAATAAAAAAAATATTTGTTCTATCAACTTCATACTCCTAGTCTTAAATTTTCATAATTCTGAGCAATTCAATTTTATTGGAAATTTTTTCCTCTGTTTGCATAGCTTTAAAAATCTATTATACACAGTGATACAGGTAGAGTCGTGAATACAATTGTGAGATTTCTCAACAACAGTATAGATGAGTGCGTAGTTTGCCCCAGTTGGCCTCACTCTTTTCATTTAGGTGAAAGAGTACTGTAGTTTTCAGGCACGAAGTAAAAAACACTGTTCTCTTTGTTCAGTGAGGGGAATTAATGTGTATTTACACAGTGCTTGGTGGGATCCTCATGTCTTTTGGCATTTTTACTTCCAACTTTTCCCCAGCCAAGTTCTTAGCTAGAAATATTTTTCATGAGAATCTGTACTTGACCCTGCTTGTCCCCCAATTTCGAAGTCTCTATCTTTGGATGAACTTTGGTAAGAGAAGAGATTCCAAGCTGGATAATTTTCAGTGTCCATGTATGGATGTGCATACACCCTACCTCAGCACTCATCCATGGAATCTGGGGAAATCAAACCGATACATCTTCCCTTTAACCTCTGCCTCCCTGTCTCCCCATGGGTATGACGGTTGATGCTCTCACTCACTAGGAGCCATCTGTGCCATCTTGAATTATTGGCAAGTAACTCTCCAGAGACATCAATACATGTTCATTTACTAGAATGCCCAGCCCTACAGTTCAGAAGTTACAAGAAAATAAAGACGTGAATTTGTTTCTATGATAGAAAAGATCTGCAACCTGAGGAATAACCCACTTTTAACAGAATGTCCTAGTGCTTGAAATGGATTTCTCTGTTGAAAAGAATGTGAGGCCTATGCATTGCTTCCAGCTTCACTCCCTTTTCTCACTAAAAGGCTTTCTAGGCTCAAAAACCTGATGGACATCAACTGTGGTTTTTTTCTGTGCCTATATGTTAGTTCTCAGACATTCCCCTCCTCATCACTTCTAAACCTCGGAGTAACAATTATGCCATCTTCCATTTCTGGGGCCCTAGGACTGTGCTGGGCCATTAATTAGCCAGATGTCTGTTCAGAGTGGGAGGTTTGAATGGGCTCAGCAGAATCGTAGGACATAAGGAGACTTCAGACTATAGGACTAACCCTGGACAACATGTAGGCAGTGATGTATACAGCCATCACCAAAGTATGAGCAGAAGTTTGTAAACATGGTTACCCACCATGTTCATTAGAAAAGACACAGGATCTGCACCCATTAGTATGGTATCCCAACAACCTTCCATTTTGCCAAACGATGATTCTTGACAGTCTCTTCATCCTGACTCTTAATCTCTCCACATTGTCCAATGCCACGTTTGTGTTTATTTGAGCACACACAGTTTCTTTTCCCCCTATGTCATTCCTCTTTTTTTTTCTTTTGGCGTATTATGGGGGTACAGAATATAAGGTTTCAATAAATGCCCATTCTCCCCCTGACCCCACAAGTCGGAGTCTCCAGCATGACCATCCCCCAGATGGTGCACATCTCACTCATTATGTATGTATATACCCGCCCCCCTCTCCCCTCCCACGTGCCCAATACCATATTACTGTAGTACCTATGTGTCCACTTAGGTGCTGCTCAGTTAATACCAGTTTGCTGGTGAGTATACGTGGGTGTTTATTTTTCCATTCTTGGGAAACCTCACTTAGTAGTATGGGTTCCAGCTCTAACCAGGAAAATATAAGATGTGCTATATCACCATTGTTTCTTAGAGCTGAATAGTACTCCATGGTATACATATCTACCACAATTTTTTAATTCATTCTTGCCATTGATGGGCACTTGGCGCAGTTCCACAGCCTTGCGATTAAGATGTGTGCTGCTATACATTCGAGCTCCAGGTATCTTTTTGTAGATGGTCATTGGTTCTTTGGTTAGATGCCACAGCAATGGCGTTCTGGATCAAATGGTAATTCACTTGTATCGCTTTAAGGTATCTCCATATTGCTTTCCACAGAGGTTGAGTAGTTTTGCAGTCCCACCAGCAGTGTAGAGTGTTCCTCTCTCTCCGCATCCACGCCAGCATTTATTGTTGGAGACTTTGATAAGGCCATTCTCACTGGGTTTAAGTGATATTCATTGTGGTTTTGATTGTATTTCCCTGATGATTAGAGATGTTAGCATTTTTTCATGTTTGTTGGCCATTCTCCTGTCTTCTTTAGAAAGTTCTGTTTCAGTCCTTTGCCACTTTTTATAGGTTATTGTATTTTTTGCATTGCTGATTTTCGTGAGTTCCTATTATATTTAGTATCAGCCTTATCAGAATGCGTAGGATGCAAAAATTTCTCCCATCGTAGGTTGTCTGTTTATTTCATGACTATTTCTGTCTGGCTGGTCGAGCTTTTTAGTTCATCATGTCTCATTTATTTTTTTGTTGTGCTGTTGATTGCTTGGGACTCTTCATAAAATTTCCTTTGCCTGGCCGATGCTAAGCAGATGTTCCAACATTTCCTCCTAGACATTCTAATGGTGCATACCTTAGGTTTTAAGTCTGGTAGTCCAGAGTGAGTTGATTTTTGTGAAGAATGAAAGGGTGGGTCCTGGCTTTACCTTCTACAGGGCTATCAGCTTTTCCAGCACATTTATTGAGAGGGATTCTTTTCCCCAGTGTATGGTTTGTCTGCTTTGTCAAAGATTTACAGATGGCTATATGACATGTTTTATATAAGGATTCTCACATCTGCTCCACTGGTCCAATATTTGCCTTTTTTGTCCAATACCAGTATGATTTAAATTAGCCTACAGCTTTGTAAGTATAGTTTTGATATCGGCTATCAATGCTACAACCTCATTTGTTTAATTGTTGCGTACAACATATGCATTATTATAATATCAGGGTTATCTTTGAGTTCCATTACAAAGCGTAAAAATATATTTTTTCTATAGTGTGAAGAAGCCTGAGGGATTTTAATCAGGTATTGCATTGAATCTGTAGATCATTGGGTAGTATTAACATTTATGATGTTTGAGCTCCTCCACCGAGCATGGTATGGTTCCATCTGTTTACATCCTCTGCTATTCCTTTCCTCAGTGTTTCTAGTTCTCCTGTATAGGTCTTGACCTCCTTGTTAAGTATATTCTATGGG